CACTTTCGTCACTTTCTCAGTCTGGGATTCTTGATTTTCGAACCGTATTCAAATCTGCTTTGGTCTAGACTGTTTGATATTTGGTCTTTCGCTAACCGGTTCTTGGAGTCTTTTCAATCGACCAAGCCAAATCATTGTGTAATGCGTCAAAACTCTTGAAGCGTAGTTCATCAGTAGAGAGTACATTCAAGCATTAGTTTTCAGTAAACACTGTTTGCGGGTATGAAATAAAAAAACCGCCTTCCAACGTTCCAGCCTCAATATGCAAAGGCGTTCTCACGGAACACCGTAAGGGTCATGGTATGGTAGATTCAGCGGGTACCAATAAAGCTGGTATGAAAATAAGATAAAATGCCCAATCACATAAGCATGCAATACGTAGAAGAGTATCATGATAGTCAGCATATGGGCAGCTAATAGACATCCCGATTACACGAGCTGAACAAATTTCCTGTATGCATATTTATTATTTGGATGCAGGCAGACGTTTAGGCACGATCATGATTTACACCTGTCGGCGTAATTCACATGACATTCTTTTGGACTGTGTCTAACAGCAGTGGTTCATCTGTTTCTGTCAAAGAGGCAGTTGGCGTAGACTTTGTTGATACTTGGCAACATCTTTTATCCTGGTTAAACTCGTCCGTTTCCTCACAAAAATATGTTATGTACTCTACAAATGATGAATGACCTGTTTTTGGCTTTTCGTCCGACTAAGAAACGACGTTGTGTTGAAACCCGTTTTGTTTTCACTAATTTTCTTTCGTTCGCTTTTCCTCAGTTCTCTCCACTCGACTGTTAATCACTGACAGCGGCATTAGCAAGTGTTTTCGCGAGTGACAAAACCAAAGTATCCTTCTCACACATCTGGCTTCTCTTTTAGAGCCTGGCAGCACTGCGATTGCATGGGAATTCGCAAACGCAGAGTTCCAACGCAATACATGTGTGATTTATGCTGCCCGCGAGTAATGGCAATCTCCGCAGAAGAAGCTTATCATTTACAGGTAGCCAAGATATATGCGGGTAGAGTCGATGGAAGGCCGTCAAGAAAATAGAACACCAGATTATGAAGCTTTTGAAAATGACGTCTTTGATGTTAAGTGCCACTGAATATCATGGAATGAAACATTATGTTTTAATTAAGTAATAAACAGAGATGGGCCATTTATTATGCATTACAATACTTACGTAAATAGTGAATTTGATGTAACATTGAGACAACGTTTATGACCCGTGTACGAAAACGGCTGCGACCTTACAGATTGCACGATGAAAAACTGAAATACCCATCGCGTATGTGGTGTCGTCCAACACCAGAGTCATCATGATGAGAGGCAAAAAAATCTGACCATCTAGGACTTCATTGAGTCCTTAACCAAAACTGATTTGGCTTGTTCAGTCGTTGGTGTCGAAATTAGGACCGATAGGTTCCAAGTTCAAGCTCCGGTCAAGATCACTCGCCCTTCTTCTTGCCAAGGTTGACAAACGAGTACCACTCTGTGGGAATGAAACATAAGACGACACGCTACACCTTATACATGACTGTAGACTTTGGCTTTAAAATAAAATCTTTCTGGCTGATTTCATAGAGACGAATATCAGCACCACACCATCAACTTTATGAAACGAAGGGCGCCAAAGTGGCAAAATCATGACAGTACAGGGAGACCAACATAACCAAGGCAAGCATTGAAGATGTAAAGCCCAATTTGATATAACGTCACAGTTCAGAACATGAGGAAACAAGCGTAACAGCACAAATTATCAGACAACTCCATGAATTGCAAAATTTTGAGTTGCAGACTTGCTGCCACGAAAGTTCATTCTCTTATTGTCCTGAAGATTTGCTGCCGCAGGTGATGACTGGACACCATAGTCGAAATAGATGCCCTGTGACGCTGGTTACAATGCACGTGACATATGAACGACATTATTTCTAGACGTTAATGCTACCTCGTTGATACAACACCATAATCAACCGTTACATCATCGCTGTAACTGCAAGCTTAATTCGCGCACAATGCTGCAACGTTAACGCTTCATACCTGGTGTACTGAGGGCCCGCCAATAGAAGTAGCTAACAACCACAGCTGACGTTGGATGAAAATGTTTGCACGTATGTTTAGTGTTCTTAACTGCTGATCATCTGGCGCGTCTTTAGATTAAAGACATAGGAGCTACCTCAAAACGTGGTGGTTAGCTACGACATCGGGCAGGCAGTGGAGAGACCATTAGGGCGTGGATAGGTTAGAGCATGACAAGTTCGATCATCGGAGAAAAAATCACTGTACCAAATGACAGTGTCATGTCGAGGCGAAAGCGACCCGCTCCTTTGAAGAAAGATGATCGCAAATGTCACTGCTGCCCTGCAGTTAGACGTTGGTTTGTCAAAGGCTAGAAAAAATAAAACCAGAGGGAATTGGGATACCCATCTGTACGAAATTCCTCTTGCCAACATCAGCACTGCCAGCGATTCGAAAATCTTCATGCGCCATCATAACACGAATGAATTTGGCCTCAGTACCATGCGCTTAGTTCGACTCACTCTCCTGTGCGATACGGTATTCGACTAAGGGAAGTTGCCAAGAATCTCAGGTAAAAGGCTGCCATCTGACGAAGGGATCACGACTTTTCTCGCTATTTGCACCTGCAAATGTTAAACATTGGTGAGGGAAGAAAAATTATGAGGAAGGATCATGGATGGCCTCTACACTCTTAACCTCTGTGAGACATGACGGCATAAGGTGACAAATTGCATCTAGAAAGAAGATAGTTCGATTTAGCTAGGAGGAAGTGAAGGTCGACGAACATGGGCGGTATATGATTTGTACTGAGCAAATGCTGGTTCACCCAAATTGTTTACTGCCATGTTACGTCACCAGCTCACCAACACTAAGCGCGTTGTGCCTCCAACTAAGGAAGAAGATTACCTTGAAGATTTTCCAAACTTATGCTACCACAAGTGCAGCTGTTGAGGAGAATGTGGAAGAAATCTGTCAAGAAATAAATCAGCATTGGTTCAAAAGTCCACCTATGCCCTCTTCATGGGAGACTTCAATGCCAAGGTTGAGTGAGGAAGAGTCTGTGAAAAGTCTGTCGGCAGGTACGACACTGTAGAGCAAAATGAGCGAGGAGATTAGGTAATAACTATGGAAGATATGGAAAATATATACAATGGAAACAACTGGTTCAAGAAGACTAACAGCAGGTGGACATGGATCGCACCCAACGCGGCGACGAAGAAGGAGATCAACTTCGTCCTGTTTGAAAAAAAGCCGCTACATCCGAGTCATCATTTGATACCGGAAGCGACTGCACACTGATGCAAGCCAGGTTGAACTTCGACGTGATGACCAGCAGAAAAGCACTGCACATGGCGAATCACAAACAACGACCAAAAGTATTCGACAAGACGGTACAAGCGCTGATTTCCAGTGAACATGGAGCCTGAAATGCATCTACGACGACGACTGCGAGAAATTCCCGGAGAAACCGAGTCGCTGCGAAAAGTTCAGCCGGGGTGGTAACATGAAAGAAAACGAAAGGAAGGATCTGAGACGAGACACCGAGTTTGCCAAAGAGGAGGTTGAACGTGAAGATAGGCGCGACCGACATGGTAGAATACTTTCTTCTCCGTAAGTACATGATAAGGACGCTGAAGGAAGACCTTGAAATCTTCCGATTGGAAAATTAGGGAAAACAGCGAAAAACGGCAGATTGTTTAGACAGCGTAGCAGAGAGGTACCGTATTACCGTTACGCCGTCTGACAGAGCTGAGATGCAGTCTATCTGCAAGAACGTTTACACCCCGCTCTTTGCATGAAAGACACGCGTCCCCGACCATTACTCCAACAGCCAGAAGGTACCATACTCTCCTCTCAGTAGTCATAAGTGACGTTGGGCATTATCGGCCAGTAAATGAATAAAGGAAGAGCCTCAGAGAGAAGCGGTCTGACAATTGAAATAATCCAAAATGGCAGGCATATGTTGTGGAAGGTTCTAGCGAAGTGATTCAGTTGCTAACTAAAAACGGGAAAAGCTCTATAATGCTGGAAAGCGTCAAAAGCAACTGTGCTGTGCAAGAAGGACGACAAGGAAGAAAAGGGAGAATCATTGTCAAATTTGTCTGCTGTCAGGAGTCTACAAGCTGTCGGTCTACAGGCTGTTGACTAAGATTATCACCAGCGGAATGTCAGCAAGTCTGGATGAACTGCAACCAAGAGAACAGGCAGAATTCCAAAGAAGCTACACCATAATGAATAGCATCTATACCTTAAGTAAACTCCTCTAGCTTGCGAGGGAACAGCCGCCACCTTTGTTCGGTGCCTCCGCTTACCACAAGAAAGCGTTCGACACTGCCGAGCATAGCGCAACGTGGACTGCACTGGCAGAGCAGGTCATC